GGGAGAGATTGCTGCTGTGCACCATTTCAAATTGTGTGATTCATTTGCGGCGAGTATTTTTATTGTTGTTGGCTAAATTGGGCCAATTTTGACAGTGATGCCGCCACGTGATGGACTCCTCGCTTCGAATGATGTCAGCTGGGGGGGGGGGGTCTCTAACCGGCCACTCGTGCCGCGGAGACGGCGCGAAATTCATTCATGCGGTTCCAAAGAAATTAACCGGGGCGGCCTTCTTGATTCGAAACTGCGAAGCTGTGCGACACGCGGCGAGGACGCGCTACTGCTGCAGTGGCATTCGACACAGCAGTCTTCGACAGTAGGAGTCTTTATTTATTCCAGCACGAGACACGGTCTCCAAAGATTCCCTTTACTTCAAGCATCTCGAGCTCTCTTGCGTTTCCCCCCCACTTGGATATCCCTCAAACCCCCTTTCTCGAAGATTCCTTGGCCCACTTTCCCTCCAGCCAATCACCTTGGCCCACTTTCCCCCCAGCCAATCACCTTGGCCCACTTTCCCCCCAGACAATCATCTTGGCCCACTTTCCCCCCAGCCAATTGCCTTGGCCCACTTTTCCCCCAGCCAATCACCTTGGCCCACGTTCCCCCCAGCCAATCACCTTGGCCCACTTTCCCTCCAGCCAATCGCCTTGGCCCACTTTCCCCCCAGCCAATCGCCTTGGCCCACTTTCCCCCCCAGCCAATCACCTGGGCCCACTTTCCCACCAGCCAATCATCTTGGGCCACTTTCCCCCCAGCCAATCGCCTTGGCCCACTTTTCCCCCAGCCAATCACCTTGGCCCACTTTCCCCCAGCCAATCACCTTGGCCCACTTTCCCTCCAGCCAATCACCTTGGCCCACTTTCCCCCCAGCCAATCACCTTGGCCCACTTTCCCCCCAGCCAATGACCTTGGCCCACTTTCCCCCCAGCCAATCACCTTGGCCCACTTTCCCCCCAGCCAATCACCTTGGCCCACTTTTCCCCCAGCCAATCACCTTGGCCCACTTTCCCCCCAGCCAATCACCTTGGCCCACTTTCCCCCAAGCCAATCACCTTGGCCCACTTTTCCCCCAGCCAATCACCTTGGCCCACTTTTCCCCCAGCCAATCACCTTGGCCCACTTTTCCTCCAGCCAATCACCTTGGCCCACTTTCCCCCCAGCCAATCACCTTGGCCCACTTTACCCCCAGCCAATCACCTTGGCCCACTTTCCCTCCAGCCAATCACCTTGGCCCACTTTCCCTCCAGCCCATCACCTTGGCCCACTTTCCGCCCAGCCAATCACCTTGGCCCACTTTCCCCCCAGCCAATCACCTTGGCCCACTTTCCCTCCAGCCAATCACCTTGGCCCACTTTCCCCCCAGCCAATCACCTTGGCCCACTTTCCCGCCAGCCAATCATCTTGGCCCACTTTCCCCCAGCCAATCACCTTGGCCCACTTTCCCTCCAGCCAATCACCTTGGCCCACTTTCCCTCCAGCCAATCACCTTGGCCCACTTTCCTTCCAGCCAACATACCTTTCCCTAACCGATCCCAACCGATCCTCCCTGTCAATCATCCTTCGTTTCCCCACTCTTTACGTTTGTATTCCACCGTTCACAACCGTCCTTCAATGTCCCTGCCTCTAACCAAATCCCCTTTCAGGCCTGTTAAGTTGCCAATCAGAGGGGCTTGTTTTTACTTCCTGATTAGATGCCTGTAAACCCATATGTTTTACCCCGTATTCTTGTATAGGGAAATTAAGTTTGCAGGTCCATGGGATGTGTGAAACAAACAAAAAAATACTTGTATTCTTGGGGTCACGTAGATATGTTCAAAGAAAATAACAAAAAATCTACGACGTTTCGATCGCAGCACAAGCGGTCGTCATCAGGAAAAGGGGGGTTAGCCTCTAAAGGAAAACTGTTTATAAAGGTTTAAAATGGGCATAGCCCAAGTGTAATGTAAGTGATGGTGTAATTGTTGTGTTGGTGCGAGGACTGATATGGGAAGGAGGGATTACACTTTATTAGGATTACACATCCGTTTCGCCGTACTGTGTTCTCGTGATTACTGCAGCAGTGTTCTGTTCATAGTATGACAGGAATTAAACGTACAATAACACGGGATTAGCATGGATAGGGGTAGGTTGTGGGTACTCTAGTGGTAGTGTCTCACGCCGATAATGTCCAAGCCAGCCTTAGCAGCAGCGTTCCGGAAAATATGAGGTGCGAAATTAATCCCCGGGATGCTTTGGGTGAGGATGATGGAGGGGACCATAGTGGCCCGGTGGTAGAGACGGAACGACGGGCGAGTGGCAGTCCAAGGGAGGAAACAAGCCCCAGAGAACTAAACTCTCTCTAAACTATTTTTATTTTATTTTACCAGGTGTAATGGCAACTGAGCGATATTGTTATCTTTCAGAAGCGACCTGGCTACAACAAATGTTAGCTCGACGAAGTTGCTTTTGCGTCACGTGGACATTTATAGCAGCCAAACTACTCTAAACGCGTGATGTTGATTCTAAATGTGGAGGGGAAAACCCCCGGAGGACCTGGAGAAAAAAAAAACTCCACGCGACCACCGAGAGAGAGAGGGACACTCAAACTCCAAATGTACAGCAGGCGTCAGGATCGGGATTTGAACCCACGACCACCTTGTATACCAGGCGAGGTAGTGGGGGCGTCCACACCGCGGAGATGGAGCGACGCACTGAGTGGATATCATCGCCACATCGTAGGACTGCGGCGGCTCGTGGAGGCCCTCATCTAGCAGTGGATTGACCATGGTCGGCCACCTCCACATGCCGACCCATCCTATTGCGTACTCATTGTCGATCCTAACATTGCGTAAGGGATACCGAGATATTTTTTTTTTAAACCCTGTTAGGAAATAAATAAACGCACACTCAGCGGGTCTCTCAGGGCTCGTGAGTTGGAAATGCGCCCCCGACTCGCATTGGCGAGGAGCTATTTTGAGTGCCGCGGTGGCTCGGAGATGTTAACTACCTCGCTGGGTATACAGGAGGTCGTGGGTTCGATCACGACCCTGAAGCTTACGTGTTAAACTGTATATTTGGAGTTTGCAGTGTCTCTCTCTCTCCGTGGTCACGTGGATTTTTCTCCGGGTTTTCCCTCCACATTTAGGAACACGCGTTTAGAGTCTCTGGCTGCTGCTATGAATTTCCACACGATAAGGCAGCTTCGTTGAGATATCATTTGTGGCCAGGTCACTTCTGAATAAGAGCTGTATGGAACGTTCTTCCGCAAGATATCAGGGATCTCTGAGTCTGTGAACATTTTTAAAACGCCCCTTAAAACCTATTTATACGTTTCCGCTTAATTAAACTTTTAGTTAACTTAGTAAATTATTCTTAAAATGTATTTATTATATTATTGTCATGCGGAGCGTATGTTGCTGTTGCTGTGTCCTGTACAGCGCTTTGAGATCCTTGATAAAAAGCCGCTATATAAATGTTATACAGGTATAAACAACAGGTTCCACACTGCCCACCAGGGATTATGTGTCTGTCTGTCGTGCATATCCGGAATTCCATCCGCATTATTGAAGTTTCGGCACTAATTTCCAACACGGATCGCACGAATGCGCTGTGCAACCAAGCTACCTACCAGCCCACTCCGAAGGAACGTGTTTTCGGTAAAGTCACGTAGTTAGAAATAAAATAAAAAATAAAAAACACGACGTTTCGATCGCAACACAAGCGGTCGTCATCAGGACGCTTGTGTTGCGATCGAAACGTCGTGATTTATTTCATTTTATTTCTACCCACGTGACTTTAACGAAACAAACCAAAGAGTATGGATTCCTGCAGTCACGAAAGCTTCAAATCAAGATTAATATTCTTGGTTCTTTCGGTAAAGTCACGTAAAAGGGAAACAATTAAATAATAAAAAATATATTTTTTATTATTTTAAATAATAAGAAAAAAACAAGAATATGAATCCCTGCAGTCACGAAAGCTTTAAATAAAAAATCAAGATAAATGTTGTTATATAGCTCAGTGGGCCTGACCTGGTTAAATAAAATAGTTTAGTTCGAATAAAACATAGATACGTTAATATTCGATTGCAGTGCGACGCTCATTTCGTTGAGCTCCCACAAACGGTGTACCCCAATTGTGGGTACACAGTCGTGATGATGAACTCTTTACTGACACACGGTGATGCACTGCTCGCTGGAAGTAAGCTGATCCTGGGCGTGTGCGCTGAAAACATCGTCGGCGAGTGCCATTGGCCGGTTGAGATGCTTGCTTGCTGCTGTTGTTGTCTCTCAATTAAAACAAACACGTGTCGCATGAATGATTGATTATGTAACACCGATGCACATCGTAGTATCTGATAGCAGTGGCCTTGAACCGTGGCTCTGGGAAGAGTTCTCAAGTGGTGGGGGGGAGGTCGGGGGTCGCGCACGCAGAGGTGATTCCGCTGACGTTAAGAAACAGACGCCGCGGGGCTGCGGTTTCCATGTCTCTCGGAGGACGCGGTGTCGTCACCATGGCGACACGTTCAACAACACCCACGTGGGAGACGGAGGGAGACACGTGGGAGACAGCGGGAGACACGGGTGAGACAGAGGGAGACAGAGGGAGACACGGGGGAGACAGAGGGAGACAGGGGTAGACACGGGGGAGACAGGGGTAGACACGGGGGAGACAGGGAGACAGGGGTAGACACGGGGGAGACAAAGGGAGAGAGCGGGAGACACGAGGGAGACAGAGGGAGACAGGGGTAGACACGGGTGAGACAGAGGGAGACAGAGGGAGACACGGGGGAGACAGAGGGAGACAGGGGTAGACACGGGGGAGACAGGGGTTGACACGGGGGAGACAGGGGTAGACACGGGGGAGACAGGGAGACAGGGGTAGACACGGGGGAGACAAAGGGAGAGAGCGGGAGACACGAGGGAGACAGAGGGAGACAGGGGTAGACACGGGGGAGACAGAGGGAGACACGGGGGAGACACGGGGGAGACAGGGGTAGACACGGGGGAGACAGAGGGAGACACGGGGGAGACACGGGGGAGACAGGGGTAGACACGGGGGAGACAGAGGGAGACAGATGTCCAGTAGGGACGGGTCAGACAGTTACATCGAAGACGGCGTGACCGGATGACACGGAGAGAGAGAGAGAGACACGGTGAGACAGAGACACGGCGAGACACAGAGGCAGGGATATACAGTATAGAGAGAGGGGAAACCAGGGAGGCACTGCTTAGTGAGACGTTGAGCCCATAGGGTTACCGATAGAGACACAGACAGTCACATAGGAGGGGGAGGAGGATGGAGGAAGGGATGGAAACCCCCCTCGTGGTGCTGCGCTGTGGCCCCTACGAGGCGTGTGGACTGGTTCGTCACCGGCCCTGGAGGCTCCTGGGACTCCTGTGTGAGTCAGTGAGTGGGCGAGTTGGTGGGTGAGTGAGTGGGCGAGTGAGCGAGTTGGTGGGTGAGTGAGTGGATGTGTGAGTCAGTGAGTGGGCGAGTTGGTGGGTGAGTGGCCGAGTTGGTGGGTGAGTGAGTGGGCGAGTGAGCGAGTTGGTGGGTGAGTGGGCGAGTGAGCGAGTTGGTGGGTGAGTGAGTGGGCGAGTGAGCGAGTTGGTGGGTGAGTGGGCGAGTGAGCGAGTTGGTGGGTGAGTGAGTGGATGTGTGAGTCAGTGAGTGGGCGAGTGAGCGAGTTGGTGGGTGAGTGAGTGGATGTGTGAGTGAGTTGGTAGGTGAGTGGGCGAGTGAGCGAGTTGGTGGGTGAGTGAGTGGGCGAGTGAGCGAGTTGGTGGGTGAGTGAGTGGATGTGTGAGTCAGTGAGTGGGCGAGTTGGTGGGTGAGTGGGCGAGTTGGTGGGTGAGTGAGTGGGCGAGTGAGCGAGTTGGTGGGTGAGTGGGCGAGTGAGCGAGTTGGTGGGTGAGTGAGTGGGCGAGTGAGCGAGTTGGTGGGTGAGTGGATGTGTGAGTCAGTGAGTGGGCGAGTGAGCGAGTTGGTGGGTGAGTGAGTGGATGTGTGAGTGAGTTGGTAGGTGAGTGGGCGAGTGAGCGAGTTGGTGGGTGAGTGAGTGGATGTGTGAGTGAGTTGGTAGGTGAGTGGGCGAGTGAGCGAGTTGGTGGGTGAGTGAGTGGGCGAGTGAGCGAGTTGGTGGGTGAGTGAGTGGATGTGTGAGTCAGTGAGTGGGCGAGTTGGTGGGTGAGTGGGCGAGTTGGTGGGTGAGTGAGTGGGCGAGTGAGCGAGTTGGTGGGTGAGTGGGCGAGTGAGCGAGTTGGTGGGTGAGTGAGTGGGCGAGTGAGCGAGTTGGTGGGTGAGTGGATGTGTGAGTCAGTGAGTGGGCGAGTGAGCGAGTTGGTGGGTGAGTGAGTGGATGTGTGAGTGAGTTGGTAGGTGAGTGGGCGAGTGAGCGAGTTGGTGGGTGAGTGAGTGGATGTGTGAGTGAATTTGGAAGGTGAGTGGGCGAGTGAGCTAGTTGGTGAGTGAGTAGATGTGTGAGTGAGCGAGTTGATAGGTGAAGTGGGCGAGTGAGCTAGTTGGTAGGTGAGTGAGTGAGCGAGTGCGGGGGCTTGTGGGTGAATAAGTTGGATGAGGGATTGCGTGGGTGGTTATGTGAGTGTGCTAGTGTAGTAGCTACGCATGCCCCAGCTGCTTCTGTTTGGCCAGATAGAGGGGGCTAAACGGGCGCGACACGGGCTAGAGAAGAGATTGAGTTAATGCGGACGTGGTGCTGAGTGGACTTGTCGATACACTGGTAACCAGCGCTGTCAACATCGGCCTCTGTGGAGGAGGCTCGTGAAGGACGCTACTGGGCAGTTGGAGGCAGTCGCCCTCCAGCGACAACGGAGGGCAGAGGAGCGACGCTCACAACAACGAGCGGAGCGCCGAGTGGCTGAAACACAGCAAAGTGGCACAGTCTGAGGCAACCGATGGCACCTAGGTCTGTCCCGTGACCTCCTTCAAACAGCAAGAGCCGTTTACCGTTCACGTGGCCCTAAGGTGCACGTGGCCTGGCCACAGTGGCCAATGATAGCTGATGTTGCTCGTGTGTATGAGTGGGTGGGTAATAGGGCTGGGGGAAATATCTAATTGCGATTTTTCTGACAGATATTGCGATTAACTGTTTTTAAGTCAAGCTTCAGTTCAACATTCACTGTGTAATAGATTTAAAACATGTGATGGAGCATTACCGCATGACACCATCAAAATATGAACTGCTCTATATATTCTAATGCAAGGGTGAGAGCTTAAAATATATTAATTGCTTCCAACATGTATTTATGAAAATGTTTTAATTGAAATATAACAATCAAACATAGAATAATTAAGTTAAATAAATAAAGTTATCATTTTTTAAAATTCCATTAAGAAAGTAATTGGAATTTTCAAATCGCAGCCTTTGCAATTCGCTGTGTTTCAAATTGCGATTTCAATTTTAAATCGATTAATCGTTCAGCCCTAGTCGGTAAGTCAGTGGATTCGTGAGCGGGTGAGGGGGTTAGTGTGTGGGTGTCTGTGTGAGTGGGTGGGTGTCTGGATGAGTGGGTGGGTGTCTGTGTGAGTGGGTGGGTGTCTGGATGAGTGGGTGGGTGTCTGTGTGAGTGGGTGGGTAGGTGTGTGAATGGGTGGGTGTCTGGGTGAGTGTGTGGGTGTCTGTGTGAGTGGGTGGGTGTCTGGGTGAGTGGGTGGGTGGCTGTGTGAGTGGGTGGGTGTGTGAATGAGTGGGTGGGTGTCTGTGTGAGTGGGTGAGTAGGTGTGTGAATGGGTGGGTGGGTGTCTGGGTGAGTGTGTGGGTGTCTGTGTGAGTGGGTGGGTGTCTGGGTGAGTGGGTGGGTGGCTGTGTGAGTGGGTGGGTGTGTGAATGAGTGGGTGGGTGTCTGTGTGAGTGGGTGGGTAGGTGTGTGAATAGGTGGGTGGGTGTCTGGGTGAGTGTGTGGGTGTCTGTGTGAGTGGGTGGGTGTCTGGGTGAGTGGGTGGGTGTCTGGGTGAGTGTGTGGGTGTTTGTGTGAGTGGGTGGGTGTCTGGGTGAGTGGGTGGGTGGGTGTCTGTGTGAGTGGGTGGGTAGGTGTGTGAATAGGTGGGTGGGTGTCTGGGTGAGTGTGTGGGTGTCTGTGTGAGTGGGTGGGTGGGTGTGTGAGTGGGTGGGTGTGTGAATGGGTGGGTGGGTGTCTGTGTGAGTGGCAGGGTGGCTGTGTGAGTGGGTGGGTGGGTGTGTGAATGGGTGGGTGGGTGTCTGTGTGAGTGAGTGGGTGGGTGGCTGTGTGAGTGGGTGGGTGGATGGGCGTGTGATTGTGTCAGTGGGTGGGTGTGTGACTGTGTGGGTGTGTGACTGTGTGAGAGGGTGGATGTGTGACTGTCTGGGTGTGTGACTGTCTAGGTTTGTGACTGTGTGGCGCTCCAACACGATCTTTATCGCCGTTAAACGCTGCCCCTCGACCTCTGCCGTTCTAACCGTGGCCCCGATTCTAAATTATTCACGTGAATCGCTCGTAACCGATGACATGTCATGGATATACAGGACTGTACATTTACTGCAGAGAGCTCACCGCTCGATAATCCCCACCCCTCCAAGCCCATTACGAACTCACCCCCCTTGATCTCAACTCGCACCCATGACCCCCCCTCTACTCCCTCGCTCCTCCCTACCCCCCACTCCCGCCTACCCCCCACTCCCTCGCCCCGCCTACCCCCCACTCCCTCACCCCCCCTACCCCCCACTCCCTTGCCCCCCCTACCCCCCCACTCCCTCGCCCCCCCTACCCCCCACTCCCTCGCCCCGCCTACCCCCCACTCCCTCACCCCCCCTACGCCCCACTCCCTCACACCCCCTACCCCCCACTCCCTCACCCCCCCTACCCCCACTCCCTCACCCCCCTACCCCCCACTCCCTCGCCCCGCCTACCCCCCACTCCCTCGCCCCCCTACCCCCCACTCCTTCACCCCCCCCTACCCCCCACTCCCTCACCCCCCCTACCCCCCACTCCCTCGCCCCCCCCTTCCCCCCACTCCCTCACCCCCCCTACCCCCCACTCCCTCACCCCCCCTACCCCCCACTCCCTCGCCCCCCTACCCCCCACTCCCTCACCCCCCCTACCCCCCACTCCCTCACCCCCCTACCCCCCACTCCCTCACCCCCCCCACTCCCTCGCCCCGCCTACCCCCCACTCCCTCGCCCCCCCTACCCCCCACTCCCTCACCCCCCCCTACCCCCCACTCCCTCGCCCCCGCTATCCACTCCCACGACACCCCGCTCCTCTCCCCCCCCCAACTCTCTGCCCCCCGCCCCGCCTCGCCCCCCCCCCCGCTCTAGCCCTGCTCCGCCGACACGGGTTCACGTGCGCGCCGGAGCGCGTGCACGCGCGCGGTCACGTGGAGCTGCGCGTGCGCGGGGAGGTGGTGTTCACGTGCCGCGTCACGGACCTCGAGTTCGGTGTGTACCGCACACTCTCGATACGTCTACATGACGTGTGCGTCTGTATATCAAACTGCTCTCGCTTGTGACTTCATAATGGCATCTTGTTTCCGAGCCTCCCAATTCCCGCCCCCCCCACCACCACTCCCCTCCGCCCTCCTCCCCTCCCCCTCCGACAGCGGGGAGGGTAGATCTACAGGGTGCTTAAAAAAAATGTGTTAACGCTCCTGAGAATTTGCAACAATACCACAAGAAGCGTTCTGCCTCCGGGCTCTGGAGCCCACGTGGAGAAGATTCCAGGCACGTGTGTTGGCAATGATGGCGAGCAAGTGGAGACTCTTTGGTTTTTTTTAAAGCTATTCACATACATTTGTTATCATGTTACAGTGTAGTATTATCCGTTCTTTTTCCATTAAAATCGAAGCCCCGAGTGTAACCTCGTTTGGGACGCCACCATTGCGGAAAATTAATTCCCTCGCCTGGTACGCAGTAGATCGTCGGTTCGATCCCGACCCTGACGTCTGCTGTATATTTTGGAGTTTGCGTGTCTCCTCTCTACCCGTGGTCGCGTGGATTTTTCTCCGGGTCCTCCGGTTTTTCCCTCCACGCTTAGAACCACGCGTTGAGAGTATTTGGCTGCTGTACATTTCCACGTAATGATGATGATGATGCTAAGCCACTTTCTTGAGCTATCACTTGTGTGATAGCCAGGTGGCTTCTGAAAAAGAGCTACGTAGCTCAGTGGGGGCCTTGCGTTGTAAAATATTCAAAAAAAATTGTTTGCGGTGTCTCATCGTGGATTGGTTTTTTTATCCACCAACCCTCCTCACTGCTCCCACCACGGTGCTGGATTACAGGCAGCTCACCACCGCCCCCGGCTCTTGATCGCAATGAGGGTGGCGCCGTCTCCTGGACTGGGCTCGTAATTGCCCCGTGCCCTGGCCGTCCTGCACAGGGCACGAGGCCGAGTGTGTGGGCAATACCCCACACGAGATGTGATTATCCGTGTCGCTTCATTTCATACACTTTGGTTCTATTCGGTAAAGTCACGTGTGTGACTTTGCCGAATATAACCAAGGAGTATGGATCCTTGCAAGTCACGAAAGCTTCAAATCCAGAATCGCTTCATTTCAGTTTATTTTATTAGGTATAACCCTGTGAGCCGTGCGGCTCTTGAATCGGGTGCAACGGCAACAAAAAACAAAAACATGAACATGTAACATCTTAAATCCAGGAAAAAAACAGCAAAGTCTTCCAGAAAAAGCACCGTATTTCAACGCTGTGTGCAAAAAATCTTGGATCTCACCACCGGGTTTCGCGATCCACAGGGAAACTGCGACCAAGTTGTGACCCAGTCATATGCCATGGACACGTTATGTGCAGTACCAAGTACTAGTGCTATGTATGGGTATAACTTATTGTGGGTTTTTTTTATATTGTTCGAATTGTTAAGTATGGGATTTTTCACAACAAAAGGTTTTTTTGGCGGGGGTTAGATCGCGTAAATATAAATGTGTCGTTAAACCCGCCACCATCCGACACAGCCAATCGGTAAGGTTTGTCACGTGCACAAAACTTGCCAATTAGCATTTACAATGCGGTGACTTTCCGCTGAGTGATTACAATAAACAGCTTCGTCGGGCGATTGCCAGAACTGTGAAGAAGAAGTCCTCTTTGTGATCTGAGGAGTTGAGGTGATGTCATCACCGTGCGAAGACCCAGAGGGGGGGGGGGGGGTGCTCATATAAGTCATGGATTTTATTTTATCAGCCATGACGAGAATTGTTCTGATTTGTCCGTGAGATCCACGCCAAAATGATTTGCGACCCACCTCTGGATCGCTATCCACGTATTGGCTATCCACCGTGGGGCTTGTGTGCACCGTGCGTGTCTATCTTTGTATCCGAACCGGTCCTGGGCCTCCCCTAGTTCGACTCACCTGGTGCGCCGAGTAAAACATCGCCACTTAGAGAGACAAAGGCGGCCGGGCGTGGTGCTGGCCACCCACACACCCTTCGTGTGCCGTGCCGGCTTTCATAGGTGCGCTACTCGCTAACAGCACTTGCCCCAAGAGCCAGTCAAAGCTATAGTGGGAAGTCTTTGTCTTTGCAAGGCCCGCGGGCCACTGGCGGCCCCTGATGATGGCCTTTAGTGCGGCCCGCGACAATACACAAATGGCGTGGCGGCCCTAACACTGGTAATGTCTTATCAGCAAAAGTGCCCCCCCTGAAAATGAGTGAAGAACACCGATACTTATAGTGTGTGTGCGTGTGCCGGGCAACCGGGCGTGGTGCTGGCCATCCACCACTTCGTGTGCCGTGCCGGCCTTCATAGGTGCTGCTCGCTAACAGCGCTTGCCCCAACAGTCTGTTACAGGCTACACGGGGTCGATCTTTGTGTTGTCCCTCAGGAGGAGACGGGGGTATCGACCCCCTATGCCAGGCGGCACTCCGAGCTGTGCAGAACGCAGTCTGACTCTGTCTCCGCGGATCTCCTTGGCGCGAAGAGCCGAGCAAGAGTCACCATCGCTCGAGACACCACGCGGGCGATGCCCTCCTCACCAGACCTCCTCCTCCACCGGCATTCCCCTGACCGACCGTCACATTGCGCTACGTATGGTGCAAAAGAAGTTCGACACTCAGTGGATTTTCACCAGGACATAATGGAGAAACCACGGTGGCGAGGTGTTAGCTACATCACGTGGTGTGCAGGAGGTCGTTGGTTCGATCCCTACCCTGACGCCTGCTGCTGTATATTTTAGAGTTTTCATGTTCTCCTCTCTCCCCGTGGTCCCGTGGATTTTTCCTCCGGGTCCTCCGGTTTTTCCCTCCACAATTAATTCCCTCCACATTTAATTCGACAATAGAGTATTCGGCTGCTGTTGTAAATGTCCACGTGATAAGCCAACTTTGTTGAAGCTACCAATTGTGATAGCCAGGTCGCTTCTGAAAAAGAGCCACATAGTTCAGTGGGCCCTTACCTGGTAAAATATAAATATATAGTTTAGTTTTTAAACATAGACAGCCCCATTGTGGAGCTGCTAAACCAGAGGTTGGACAATTGTTGGTAACGCCCGTGGCTCAGCGCGTGGCTGCTGCTGATGCTGCCTCGAGGCCCGTCTGTGGTTCCTCTGCGGTGAAGTCATTATTATAAATCTGAAAGTCCCCATGGCTATTAGGAATGAGGCTTCCAGTCAACTGGTCCCACTGTAATCCTTCACCCAGAGAACACAACGCAATCTCTGGAATCACAATTGCCTCGTATCTTTTTTTTTGGTCTGCTCAAATTAATTAACTTCATTCGCATTCTAAGGGGTTTGGGAAAGAGGATTGTTGCCGATCGAAGAAATAAAACAATATTGGCCAAGGCAAATATTTGTTATACATTCTTAATATGATTTATATTGTGTGCCTTTTTATCCTTCCAATAAATGCATTTGGGACACGGCAAACGAGAGGTCTGTGGAAATGTTGTTTCTGTAAGTGTAGAAATGTGTATTGCCCTCCAAGTGGGGAGCTGCGATGCAGTGATTAGCGCAGTTCGTTATGAACCCCTGCGAAACTGAGTTCTATTCCCGGCCATGACTCTTTACCAGTGGCGAGTGATATCACGAACCCACCGCTGTGCCCAGCGTATTGAAGTCCCGTACTCTATTCTACAAAAACAACCCTCATGGCCCTCGTTATATTATTATTGTAACGTCATTAACTGTAAATCCACGGGTACTCTACATGTAGGCATAACACTTGATGCTGTTCCCGAAGTCATTATCGTTCGAGCCTTCGTGTGTCAATGACACAAAGAGCCTGGAAGTGCAATGAAACATCGAATTTGGATATTCACGAAATGGTTACCAGTCTCATCAATGATTCTATTGAATGGTAGCGGTTGTGAAATTTGTTGCAAAATACACCATCGACTTGTCTGGTGCAGTTTGCATAAAAGCGGCTGTGAGCTAACTGCACCAATAGCTGTCACATATTGTCAATTTTAATACGCAGTCGGCCTTCGCGACCAATATCCATAATCGACGGGGATTTTTTTTGGCTTAGATCGCGTAAATATAAATATTTCGTTAAACCCTCCACCACCCAACACAGCCAATAGATATCACCAACCCACCTATTTACCAAACCCCTTTTAGAATGCGAATAAGGTTAAGGCTGTGTTGGGTGGTGGCGGGTTTCACAACACATTTATATTTACGCGATTTAACCGCCAAAATAAAACCTCTATTATAGCTTACTGTATATTATACACTTTTTTATTTTAGAGCCACAGCGCTATTCAGCAATGTGTTGAGTTTTTTTGTTTGCGTGTGTGTAACCAACACAGTGTTTAAAGAGTAATACAATACTGCACACGTCTGCAGCGGATGGGATTTTACGTACACGTGTCAATTACATTTACAAACGTCCGAGATCCCATTGAGTCTCTCTGGCAAGAGAGAGGCGTGGCGTGAAAGAAAAATGCGTCGTACAAAACAAAACAACAAAAAATACTTCGGCGCAGAAATCAAAGGTTACAAAAGTTGTAACGGTCCGGCGCAGATGGCATCGGCAGGGGTCGAAAAGCGACTCGTCGCAACGAGGCCTCACGGTCATCGCCAGTCCGAAATTATCCCCTATTGGTCGCAACACGCTTCAGTCAGCGCAGAACGACATCGTGGGGAATTTAGAGGAACTGGGTGGACAGTTATGTTACGGTATTTAACTATCCAGTATCTAAATCGATATTTAAACTAAACTAAAAAAAACTTTTTTTTATTTAACCACTGAGTTACGTAGCTCTTTTTCAGAAGCGACCTGGCTATCACAAGTGATAGCTCAAGAAAGTGGCTTAGCATCATCCTCATCATCATCACCACGTGGAAAAATGTATTGCGGCCAAATGCTCTCAACGTGTGGAGAGGAAAAACCGGAGGACCCAGAGGGAAATCCACGCGACCACAGGGAGCGAGGAGACACAAACTCAAAATATAGAGCAGACGTCGACCTCCCGCATACCAGGCGAGGGCGTTAACATCTCGCCACCGAGGCGCCCTCAAGCCTCCCGTAAATTTATGTGGCTTCTGCGTGACCCCGCCCCCTCGCTCTTCCCGCCGCCCCCTACGAAAACAGACGCTGCTCCTCCGCGCGGTTCGCTCCTGTTCGCTCCAACCTTCTCTCTCCTACTCTTACCTCCCCTCGCATCGCCCTCTCATCCGCGACATTCTGGCCTGGTCGTTGCCTCTTCGCGTGCTTTGGGAAATTAGTATGTGAAAGCAACGTACATCACTTTGCCTGACGAAGAAAGCTTTAAATCGGTGTAGAATTTCACCTTGTAATAATTGTTGATGGTGTTTTTTTGGGTTAAAAGATCACGTGAATGTAGTTGTGTCGTGAACACACCTGCATCCGACGGCGGCCAGTGAGGTTTGTCACGCGAACAGGACGTGACATTTAGTAACGAGTTCAGCACACCGGTCTGTTGGAGAGTAAACCCACAACAGTTTTCAATTTGAGTGCGACGTTTCGCTGGTAATTACGGCCAGCTTAATCAGGCGATTGCCATAATTGTAAAGATCCCTGCCTGCTTATGACATTTAGACCAGCAAACCGGTCGACCCTTTATCAGTGCCGACCTCATCACAGACAAATTCAGGCATCATTGGTAACCCCGTGCCCTTTTAAATCTCAACGTTCATCCTACAAAGTCCCGGTCACAAGGGAGAAACACAAACAGACACAAAAAATATAATGTCTTGCCCGTATTGATGAGGCTGTACGACATATCGATCTGAAAACTCAATTTTCCTGTTCAAGAATACGGGGTAACCCGTGTGGGTTGACAGCTATGGACCAGAGACATGGACATTGCCAAGGAAAACATTAATGTATAGTAAATGCAAAAAAGATTTACAATATATTGCAAATATATTTGCATATATAAGCAAATATATAGTTACAATATATTGTAAATATACATTTTAAATATATTTGCATTTTTCTTTACATACAAGTAAATTAATTTAGATATGCGTACTGTACTCTACGTTAAAAACATCATAATTATATATTTTAAAATACATATAATAATATTCTTATTTAGATAAAATACATATAATAATATTATTTAGAAAAAACCGTACGGCATTAATTTACACAGTCGTGTTAATACAACAGGGTAGGAGCACAACAGGCATTAAATAACCCACCGCCCCGAGCAGGCACGAGCAAGGGGCAGCCGTGGGTCCGGCAGCTCCGCGGAAACCTAAGCCGGGGTCCTCGCTGCTCCCCGCCCCTTCTCTCCCCCGGCCGCTCAGCTACCGACGCCATGGTGAGCGAATTTCTCCTCTCGTAATCCAACGCCATCCTCCCCCGTCTTGAGCCATCCGCCCTCCGCAGATCGTTCGGCTCGCGCCCCTCGTTTCGCCCGAGCGACTGCGCTCGGGCTTTGGGCACCGATTCGCGCACAAATCCGATATTTTTTTTGTTATTTGAAACTCCATTGAGTCGCGGCGGCCCCGACCCCCGGGACTCGGCCTAACCCGACCCCGCTCTCGCCTAGTTGCCGCGGCCGCCCGAGAGGCGCGGTCGGACGGCTGGAGTCGCGAGGCGAGGGTGGCCGGTGCTCGGGGCACCCGCGTAAAATAAAAAAAAAACACGGAATATGATGTCATTCTTTTTATATATAGATTTATGCCTCGCCTGGAGGTTCTTTAAACTTTACCGAATATTCGCAGTGGAGTTGCTCGATTGTGCGAGTTAAGCCGCCGCGTTCGGTGTTCACCATGCGGCTACAGGCGGCATGAATCGAAGCGTGGTGGGGGTTTTTTTGCTCGAGTAGCTCGCTTTAGCCGCCCCCTCGGCTCGGGCTGTGTGGCGTGCGCGGCCGTTCGTGGCAACCCTGGCGGTGGTGGTGGTGGTCGTGGTCGCAAAGTTCGGTGATGACCACGCGGCGTTGCGCCAGAGAGCGGGACTGAGGCTCGCTCATTGGGAACCCGTGTGCGTGCTTGTGTTCCTGTGTGTGTGTCCTGGGCTTCCCCTAGGTCGACTCGGCATCAATGCTATCTGTAAATTGTGTCACTGGGGAGACAAAGGGCTGGCCACCCAAACCCCCTCGTAATACCGTTCCGGCCTTCATTAAGTGCTCGCTAACAGCACTTGCTACACAAGTCTGTTCAGGCGACACGGTGGGTGGGTCTTTATCACTGTGTCTGAAGTGAACCTTCCCTGGGTACAATTTGTTTAACTCTCCGCCTGTTTCCCCGTGCGAGTGGTTTTTAGTTTCCTTCTGCCCCCTTGTGTGGTCATCAGTGCTTTGGAGAGCGGTGGCGCAGTGGTTAGCACGCGACCCCAATTCGATTCCCGCTCACGACCAACACCAGTGACGATTATCTGAACCGGTCTTGGGGCCTCCCCTAGGTTGACTCGGCCTCAAATGAGTACGCGTTGCGATATTTAAACGTCGCCACTCGGGAGACAAAGGCGGACGGGCGTGGTATTGCCCACCCACTCCCTCGTGTGCCGGGCTGCCCTTAATCGGTGCTGGCTAACAAGCACTTGACCAAAAACAAATCTGTGAAGGCTATACGGGGGATCTATGTATTGTTTGTAACTATCGCCTGTGTGCCTACTTTGCGCCGTCTGTATTATTTTCCTGCGGCCCTCTCCACCCCCCCCCCCCGTGTCCTCCGTCTCCCTTTGACCCCCCCATATCAATATACCTGCGTGTTCCTCTGTCCCCTCAATGTACCTGTGTCGTCTCAACGCATCAGTCTCTCTCTCTCTTCCCTCTACCTGTGGTTGTCCCTTGTTCTGCCCCGAGCCCCCTCCCATGTACACGTGTCCGCCTCTCTAGGTTGTGTCTCCTCCCGTGTAAAACTGCACCGTCTGCCTGTGTGTCCGCAGAGTGAAGCAGCCGTAACTATCCGCACGCGGAAGTTCATGACGAACCGCCTTCTGCAGCGCAAGCAGATGGTGAGTAGTTGGAGCCGAAGCCGCTCTCTTTGCGGGGACACGGCCACGGCAGTGCTTGTGGGGTGCCTGCTGCGTGGAACACAATTGAGGGAGCGGTGGTGGTGCAGCGGTTAGCGCACCGCGCGCGATACGAATCCGGCGACCCGGGTTGGATTCCCGCTCACGGCCAACACCAGTGACGGTGATCTAAAACCGGACCTGGGCCTCCCCTTGGTCGACTGCTTCAAATGAGTACTTGGTGCGATGTGTAACCGTCGACACTTAGAGAGACAAAGGCAGCCGGGCAAGGTGCTGGCCAGCCACCCCCTCGTGCGCCGTGGCGGCCTTCATAGGTGCTCGCTAACAGCACTTGCCCCAAAATTCTGTAAAACCTATTCGGGAGATCTTTCACTTTGTGGAATTATAACTTTTTTCCCATTGTGCTCTGTGAGTAGTGGAACTGAAATTGTAAATCGTGGTTCTTGTGATAGTGGGTTGATGGTTGCATGAGTAGTGGTGCTTTGAGTGACGGTGCGGTGAGTGGAATTGATGTGTGGTGGTCCTAATGAATGAGGTGCAGTGGTGGTCCGGATGTCAATGTGGTGAAGTGGCCTTGATGAATGATGTGGGTGGTTATGGCTTTGGTGAATGAAGTGGTTATGGCTTTGGTGAATGAAGTGGTTATGGCTTTGGTGAATGAAGTGGTTATGGCTTTGGTGAATGAAGTGGTTATGGCTTTGGTGAATGAAGTGGTTATGGCTTTGGTGAATGAAGTGGTTATGGCTTTGGTGAATGAAGTGGTTATGGCTTTGGTGAATGAAGTGGTTATGGCTTTGGTGAATGAAGTGGTTATGGCTTTGGTGAATGAAGTGGTTATGGCTTTGGTGAATGAAGTGGTTATGGCTTTGGTGAATGAAGTGGTTATGGCTTTGGTGAATGAAGTGATCATGGCTTTGGTGAATGAGGTGGTTTGCGGGCGTGAATGACGATCCGCGGGCCGGTCCCCTCTTTCGACGGCGCCAGGTGGTTGATGTCCTCCACCCGGGCAAGGCGACGGTGCCCAAGACAGAGGTGCGCGAGAAGCTCGCCAAGCTGTACAAGACCACGATGGACGTGGTCTTCGTCTACGGCTTCCGCACGCAGTTCGGAGGCGGCAAGACCACGGGCTTTGGCATGATCTACGACACTCTCGACTTCGCCAAGAAGAACGAGCCCAAGCACCGTCTCGTCAGGGTGCGACTCCAAAATCCCTCGCCACTGTTTGCGCTCTCCTCCGTGCAAAGTCTTCTTTTTACAACTTCGCTGGTCATTGTCCAACACCATCATCCTTGCGAGAAGAAGTATCCCCTTCACAGTTCTTGTAGATGTTCAAGCAGCCCTATGGGTCCTGGGATGTTTAATAAGCGTTTGAAGCTGTGTTAACGAGAAGGAACATTACCTTTGTGCCCTTGAAATGCCATGCTATGGTTTTATCGTGGTTTTATTCTCGAAACCACATTTTTTTCCCATGAATACCAAATTAAGACCAACAGTTCATGTTTTAAAACGCAGTTGTGTATACAATGTTAAGCTATCAAAGTATTATTCTCGTGGATGGTAATATGGTCAGGCACTAGATGCCATTGTTGAGGTCCGATTGCCACCACGAAGAGGGTTTGTTTTTCACGAGAGAGTTGGTGTAGTTTTGCTGTTCCTCCGTTGAAAGAGCGCAGGCTGCAGTGGTTTAAAATATGATCCCGTAGTTTGGGTTGCATGGCCACAATTGTTCTGTGGCTTGTCTTTAACCTTCCATGTATCAAGAGAATGCATCCATCGGCCTCTTGATACGTCTTGATCTGATAGTGGTCCCGTCGGTGCTGTGACGTATAAAGCCAGCGCTGAGTGCCTGGAGCGTGACATTTTTGCACTGTTAACCTCACGTCGGCATTTGCACGTTCAGATTTTGAGCTTCAGAAGAACGATGTAACATTTCTTTTTATAATTTCTATCGCCTAAAATAACACATAGCGGACGTCATATTCAGCCACGTTATTTCGAAGCCAAACTCTTAAATGATTAATGGTCGGGATGTGCTCTCGCGATGACCACTGAATTGATGTAACAAAAACGTGCGAAAGTAACGTCACTGTTGAATCCGAAAAGTACAATTGGCTGCTCCTGAAGTCTTCTCATGACCAAAGCTTCTAAAGTGAGCTTTCAATACGATCACTTTAAAGATTGTTTCCCCCATTACACATTCGTTCCTGTTTTCGGAACGCCTAGAGAAATTCTACGCATGTATCCACGACATTAGAGTTTGTGTTTTTTTTGGTGGGTGCCTTCCTTTAAGTGCTAGCCAAGGGGGCTGTGAGACCAAAGCACTTCTGCAACTGCGAAGTGACCCAACGTTCTATTTTCCCCCGGGTCTTTTGTGTGCAGCACGGGCTGCTGGAGCGCAAGAAGACATCCCGCAAGCAGCGAAAGGAACGCAAGAACCGTCAGAAGAAAGTCCGCGGCACGGCCAAGGCTGCTGTCGGCGCCGCTGCCAAGAAGGTGAGACCGGAGGAGGAGACGGGAGCGGGGGCTTGCGTGCGAGTTCGATTTGTGTGCCTGCCGGACGTGACGACGTCTTTGATGATCCACGAGTTTGTTTGAGTTGGCGTCGTGGTCGGCTCACAAGGTGTCGCTCTCCCCTTGCGTCCGGGACTCAGAGGCGATGAGAGGTAACCGCCCGCCAGTGACGACACGTGGCTGGCGGTCCGGGGGTTGGGCTGTAGTGAACAGCGATATCCCGGTGGCGATATCGTCTTCTGTATTCGCGACATCCCATTGTGGCTGCACCATAGATAGCTTGAGTCTAAATAAGGATTTGCTGTTTTTCTCCTGCCGGTACAATGTTGTCACATGGCTTCTATTTACAAGCCTTATGGATGGCATTTACCAAAGTAGTGTAGATTTAGCATTTATACTTGGTGAATGCCTTGTGAGTGCAACACATTGTGATGCAGTAGCATCATATGCCTTTGCATCACAAATGTGTTACTCGACTTTCTTGTTCAATACTTTGGAGCAAAGATGTGTAGTTTTCTGTTGATATTAAACACAACCATTTATCCTCTATGCAAATCACTACTTTATCAACATATGTTCAGGATTGTAGCAGGAAAATCCTCAAGTCTCCCAGCTTTTTTCCCCCACAATCTGCCTCCATGTATGGGATATCTCTTCCCTTTCAGCTGGAGGGATCGGTGTAGAGCGGAGTTCAGGCCGCGCAAGCTCTAACCACTGAGTGTTCGTGTATCACAGGTTCTGACGTGCGTTGGGGAATGGCTAGATTCCATTGTGCACTTGAGAGAGACTTTAGTTGGATACTGGACATGTTACGATTACAACTGGTTCTTATGCTCTCAATGAATGGGTTGCGCTGTGTGCCCAAGTATTGATAGCTGCAGTTTATGCGAACTTTATATATTTTGGCCAAATGAAACTTAAGTGAGACGCAAGACGGTGCAGACCGTGCACTGCGTAAGAAACGGTACAGCGGAAGTCCGTACAGAGGGGACGGCTATCGACAAGATGGTACGAGCGAGATGGACAGTAGAAACTACCAACAAATCGGAATCGTTTCCTGACAACGAATGGCAAGAAGGAGAATTGTGACATCCCTAGCGTGCCTGGTGCTGCTGCTGCTGCTGAGTGGCGAGCGCAAGGGAGAGACGGCGCAGGTTTCGTCTGTCTATGCAGTGTTGACGTATGTCTCCTCCCCTCGCCCCCCCCCCCTTCCTCCGTGCGTGGCCCCCCCACACACACACGATGACCCACAGAAGTAGCGGCGAGGTGGCTACAGGTAATGGTAATGGCCCGGGCCCTCCCCCCCCCCCCCCCCCCGCTGCCGCTGTGCGATCCACCACGAACTTGCTTTGGCTGCAGCTCACGGCTGTGCTAACGACGATACCTGCAACAATTGTAGCATGCGCGGCAGCGGTGTTGGTGCTGGGATGCTGTGGCCGTGCGCATGCGTGTGCATGCATGCGTGTGTGCGTGCATGAGGCCACGTGGTTCAACGGAAACCGAGATTTCACGCTGTCGCAATCGTTTTGCTGAAATCCACGTTGGCCATCGGGCGCAAATCTCACCGCTTTACGGCTCGCTTGGGAATTGAGACGCTCGTTTAAATTTACGAATTAACGATCTTCACAACTTAACCTTGCATCAAAGTGATTTCCAGCTTGGCAGATGATGGCCTGGCTTATTTTTTGTAGGTAACGGTTAAATATTACGGCCGGTTTCAAAGCTCGCTTGCTTTTTTTTGTTTGTTAACGAATATTAAAGTTCCTTCCCCTCGGTGTCTGAAAGAAACATTTTTGTTGGCATCGCTAAATAATTTGATAAGATCACAATTGCATAGTGTGTAAGCTGAGCGGCGGTGTTTGCGATGTCTTGTTTAATCGCGCTGTGATTATTGTATGGCGATTGATTATGCTTTCACCATCGCATGCTGGCATCGCGTGTTTCTGAGCGCGAGTGAGCCTTCGTGTGTGTACGGACCATCACTGCATGTACCTCTTGTAGCTCCGCTGGCTTCCAAACAACGCCCCCTGTGCCCCCTTTTATAGCTGCGGATTCGCTTTGGGCTTTATGGGATTGCATGCATCGGACAGAATCGGTGTGGTGTACTGCGTTTGATGGCGGTTTTTAGTTGCATGTGATAGGTTGCTCTGACCCGCGGGAGAGTGCAGTCGCATGCGCTTGCTTGTACGTAACCGTGTGTTTTATGCCATGACCTGACATCGTTTCTCTCTCTTTCTTTTGCAGAAGGACTAAGCATCCTGGCTGTCCGTTTGTCAAGACTTTTGACACGGTTGTACATTGCAAAATAAAACACCCGAAGCTGGACATTCTGTGCTTGTGCTCACTCCGTGTTCACGCGTTACTGTGGTGTATGGGTGGGAACGATAACGCAAGGACTGGATGGTTTTCAACTGGTGTACGCACGTATGTAATAAACTCTTGGTCACCGCTGCGGCACGTGTGGTGCCACCGTTCACCACAGTTTGAACCAAACTTTAAATCTCATCGCAACTAAATTGGAACAATTTGACTCGCCAGAGTGGAATTGCGAATTTGTTACACTCCTAGCGTCGAGGTCGTTTTATGTTAACGCTTTTCTTGTACTGCCAGATAGGGACCTGCGTTTAAATCAAGCCAACGGCCAATTCCGGTGACCACATGAAACAGCGTCGCAGTCAGTGCTCAGGTGAAACTTATTTTCTTATCACTTTCTGTGCGCAACGGTCCAAAACGTGAAGTCGTGGAGAACGACTTGACGTTTCTCGTTCAAGGTTTTAAAGCGCTTGGAGCGAGTGAGGAGATGAGAGGGAATCCCGCAGTGGAGAAGTTGTGGTGGGTAGCGTGGTGGTTGTACACGTTGTGGGTGCGATGAAACTGGTGAACAAAATGCTACAACTACCTCCCGAGTTGACGAAGCAGCGTCTCTTCCACATATCCGTCTGCACGTGAAGACAAACATTGGAGACGGGCAACTGCTTCCCCTCCACCTTCAACGTCTCCAGGAGCCCACGGCCCAGTGATGAATATTCAAGTAGAAATGAAAACGGGCAAGAGGTCAAGAGCAATCTTGATTTGAAGCTTTTGTGACTGCAGCAATCCATACTCCTTGTTTTTTTTCGGGAACCAAAGAGTAAGTCGAGAGCAATGAATGTCTCTGCAGCCCCACGGTTGTTAAGTGGACGCCGGTGGTCCCAAAGTGACCCCTGCAAGGGAGATTCCCCCACGAGGTACCAGGGCACTAAAAGGGACCTTGCCCGACAAGCATACCGGCGCGATTGCTACGGCAGGCTGCACATTGCCATCTTGTGTTTATTGCCACTCGACATCTCGCCACGGTGGCGAAATGCTAACGACCTCACCAGGTATACAGGAATTTGATCCAGGCAATCTTGATTTGAAGCTTTCGTGACTGCAGGAACCCATACACTCTGGTTCGTTCGGTAAAGTCACGTAGGTAGAAAAAATAAAACAATTATATATCACTACGTTTCGATCGCAACACAAGCGTTCTTCCTCAGGTAGAAAAAAATGTAAGCCAGCAGTGGATCTGCTGAAGCAGCTGGTGCATGGGTGACTACCTAAAGAATCAAAGAGTATGATCCCAACACTGCTGTGTATTTGGAGTTGGTGGCGTCTCTCTCCCGGTGGTCGCGTGGATTTTTCGTAAGGCTCTGGCTTTTCCCTGCACATTTATTTAAGAGTCCGACATCACACGTTTAGAGTATTTGGCTGTTCTACGTCGACACTGTGATGAGCCACTTTGTTGAACCATCATTTGTGGCCAGGTTGCGTCTGAAAAAAAGAGCTACATAGCTCGGTGGGCCTTACCTGGTAAACATTTTTTTATTATTATAGCTTAAGAGTTTTATCTTCAACGGGAAAGAAGTCGTGTAGGTAGAAAAATATTTTTTTAAAAACCCATAGTAAAAACTGCCGAGGTCACATATATATGACCTCGTGCCAGGTCAGATTTTTCGCCTATATTTTTTATTTGTTTCCCTTCTACGTGACTTTACCGAAAGAACCAAGAATATACTTCAGCAGTTTTTGTCTTGCTGTGGTTGTCCCACGTGATGACGATTGCTTGTGTTGCAATCGAAACGTCATCTATTTTTCTACCTACGTGACTTCAACCGAGAGAATCAAAGAGTATGGATTCCTGCAGTCACGAAAGCTTCAAATCAAGATTGAGGGGAAGAAGTCTTCTGTAATATCCTGCCAACGCAAATGGGGGCGGGGGGGTGTTCAGCTGCACAAGGGGACACAGAGGATGGAGCCGTCACTGACGGCGGACGTAGTCGTGGCGACGTCTTGGGTGAGTCGTCACCCGCGCTCGCCCCCCCCTCCCCGGGCCAAGTTGAGTTCGCTCGTCACGAGGTGAAGATTTTGACGTCGAGCATGAAGTGTGGCGATTCAGCACAGCCAGTGGGGGAGCGAGCACAGACTTCGATGAGCGTTTCGGAAGCATTTTCAGATGTTGTGAAAACATCGCTCGCCGTGCAGCAGGGTAATTTATAAACTTCCCCTGTACATTAAGCAGTTCCCATCACTCATATACTTCCATTCCTCTCACGATAGTATGGTCACACGAATCACGCGATTTAGCGGAGGCTTGTGTGGACTAATGAGTTTACAAACAATGTTTATTGCACAAAAGCACCGCTTCGTGTGGAAGTAATATTTACATGATAAATAATCCTTACACATCATGGAATTAATACAAATTGAGACCAAGGCCCATGCTGTATCGGGCAGCTCCACTCCATGACGGTCCAGAGCCAGGGACCTCACCAAATCCAGCAGTCGGTCTCGATACAACACAAAAACACGTGTTTAGGGAATGGCCAATTGCCCTCAGTATTTCCTTTTCGCACTTTGTCAATCCACCGCTAGATGAAGGCCACCCCACGTCACGTGGGCAATAGAGCCTTTCGGACTGCACCTGCTGACACTCCTCTCTCGCCACTTCTTGAGCCGTGGAGATGCGGTGTGACTACACGGTTGGCCTTTGCCGGGGTCTGCCACTTGGGCCGGATGCCTTCCTCATCACGGCGATGCCGAGGGACTCTGGTGCCAGTAGCACGGGGATGGAAGACTCCCGGTCCACGAGTGCGCGGATGGAAGACCCCCAGGGCTACTCAGGGAGGAGATCGGCGTGGGGCCGGCTTGGGCCAGCCCCGGGTCCCGCACGGCTCCAGCTCTCGTTGGCCGTCAGGGAAGCACTTCCATGAGTTCCCGAGTCTGGGTAAGAACACGGAGGTGGTGCGGTGATGATGGAGTTGGCCATCAGCGCTGGACCCAATCCGTCAGTGCCGTTCATCATCGGTCATTCATCGTCGACCTTCTACAGTCGTTCGGATCAATTGTAATGAGAGAACGAGGAGCGCGTGGACCGGGGGGACGTGTGCTTCCGCAGAGACATCGACCATGACGGCTCAATAGAGTGGGGTTTGGGAAAGACACGTGTCTGCTAAGGGCATTGGTGTGACTGCTGTGATTGTATATGAATTCAATTGAGAGCGATTCAACTCTCAATTTTCATTCAATCATGGTCGGTATTTAAATCGTCGCTTTTCAAGCGCACTCCATCATCATTACCAACCGATACAAAAAAAGCATTTGATGAATACATTCTGTTAATCAGTAAAAAAAAATGACACTCGTGAATAGTGAATCCATTTAATAACCATAACATCATTTTGAAATCACGTTTCGCGTTATCACGATCGCTAACAGCTGGCGAAGAGAGAGCAGTGCCGCTCGACC